TGTGAGGATGAAAAGATGAAGATGATAATCCTCTCTGTTTATTCGTATAAAAGCACACGCTATATATAGGATGGTGGAACACCCTGTAAGGGAAATGTCCAACATGAGATCAAGGGAACAAGATGAGGAAAAGTCCCATAACATATAGCGTCACATAGATAGATGATAGAAGAGGAGAAATCCATATAACATAACTAAAGGAAAAATCCATGAACGATAGAGAAAAGAACGAGAACATATATAGAAGAAGATGAATCACACGATATGTCATATATGTATATGTAACAACAGAACGAATGTTAGTCCCTTTAGGAATAGTTTGCATTGATGTGGTCATATTCAACAATGTCAATGTTGTAGTACTATCGTTGTTGATCATTAAAATAGCATGTGGAGCGACAACATGTTGTTCGTTCAATGATTTTGATGATGGAATGAATAACGCTGACATTGATGGTGCAGTTGTTGACGCTTGAATAACCTTTGCTGATAAAGGTGGAATAGTAATATCGACCATAGTTTTGACATTGTACAATTGATCACCTTGTTGATGTTGTAAAAATTTTACTGTTGCTTGTTGGTGATGTAAAGCGATGGTAAGATGTTTTCTTCTGTAATCGATGTTAATATTGTACTTGTCACAAAAATCTCCTCCCAATAATAAATCTGCACATAGATCTTCAATGACGAATATATTCATTTCCATTTGCATATTATTAATTGAGAAAGGTAATACGATTAAACCAGATATGTGTAATTGCCCATTGTTAGCTGTTTTACAAGATGTTGTCGTTGAATATATATGTTGGTTCATATTGAGTTGTTTTAAATATGCAGCATTGATAGCGGAGATGGTGGATCCAGTATCAACCATTGTTTTAGTTGAAATATTATTTATTAGAACTTCTATATATAATAAAGATGATGGTTTTTGACGAGATTGGGTGGCACTACCATCCTGTGGCACCCGTATTAGTTTAAATGACTAGGACATTGATATGCATAATGCCCAATACCATGGCAGTTATAACATTTTAATTGAGTAGATGAACGTCTTGATGGTTGATAAGAACGATTATTATATGTATTGTCGTATTGTTGTTGTGTTCGATGATTGTTTAAATTATATGAACGAGTGTCTTGTCGGTTATTTTGCGTGATTGTTGTACGACGAAGTGCTGCTGTTGTTTCATCAATATGTTCGTCCATTGAGGAAGATGTCATTGATGATGATGATGGTTGTGTAATCGATGCTGCTGCTTCTACTCGTTTGGCGTATTCGAATAATTCTTTACTTTGCTTCGGATTAGTCATGATCACATGTTGTTGAATAGTTGGTTTAAGACCTCGTAAAAGATATAATACTTTTTCTTCTTCTTGCATTGCAGGATTAAGTCGTATACATAATGCTAAAATATCATAGTAATATACCTGCACCGACTCCTCGTTACCTTGTCGTCGATTCAATAATTTCGTTGAAATTTTCAATTTGTGTATCGATGATGTAAACGTATTAATAAATTCTTTTTTAAATTCATCATATTCACTATTATGTTCTTCACTACGATACCATTTTTTTACATCTTCACCAAAATACATCGGCAGATATCGTCGACGATCAAGCTTATCAACTTTCGTTGCGTCGAACAATTCATCAATTGATTGTAGCCATGTTAACGGATCTTGTTCATCAGCACCAGTAAATTTTTCTATCGGTTGAATGCCTTTAACTAATAGTTGCGCTGATAAACTAGTTGCCATATTACGTTCTTGTTGTTTTTGTTCACGTTCTCGTCGTTTATCTTCAAGTTGTTGTTCGTACTGTTTTAAATTTTCTTCAGCTTGTTCGTCGGAAGTAGTACGTGTACTAACCAGTTTGATAATTTAATTGAATACGAATCTTTGAAATTGTTTGTGATGTTGAATTGACAAACAATAGGCCGGTGCACCAATGTGAGGATGAAAAGATGAAGATGATAATCCTCTCTGT